AAAGAAAGAAAGAAAGAAAGAAAGAAAGAAAGAAAGAAAGAAAGAAAAAAACCTGCAATCCATCCATGGGGAATAAGCCCATGGATAACTTCCACAGCCATATTCATAGTTGGAATTGGGACAAATTTCTCTTCTGATCCAATAGAGGTGGATGCTCTATGTGTTGAGCCCACTTTACAAAGTGATGGCCCTATTTATTAGCTATGTTATTCTCCCATTACCATAGCAATGCTTTTCTGTCCAGTATAAATAATGATTGGCAGAATATCTAATTTTCTAAAACAGTTACATGTCTATTATCCAGACCGCTGGCATAGTATCTAACATGACTATTAAATATAGCTTTTTTTAAAAAAAAGAAATGAGCCTACCTAAACTGCTGTCCTCAGTACTGCTGTTGTGAAAAGTTCATGCTTTCATTTTCTTTGTCTCAATGTTTTGGTGGGATTGAATTTCATTTCCCTCTGACCTGCTGTGTATAGTTTCTCTCTGTCTCCACTGTGCGTTTGTTCATAGAAATGGGCATGTGCGTTTGTGTGAGGATAATTCTTTCCAAATCCGATGTAGCAAATTCTAGTTCAAGGGTATTTGTCCCAGCCTCTCTCAGCCTGGTCCCCTTTTGATTCAGGGAATGTATAACTTCTGAACCAAAGGTGCTTTTTCAGGAATCAACTGGACTTTCTGATTTTTCTTTGAAGACATTTAGCTTCTCATCATCTATCTCCAATCTACAACAAAGTCCTTTCAACAGTTCCAAGAAGGCTCCACACTAATTTGCACCACTCAGGTGACCTGATGACACAGATAAACCTCCAGGTGACCTTAATGACCCATTAAAAGAATGAAAATGACCAGCTGTCTGCAAGGAGTAAAAATCTTTCAATTCCCCATCATCCAGTCAGAGCTGAAGAAGCTTCTTGGATGGTAAGCAAAACATCTTCAAAGAAAAATTAGAAAGCCCAGTTGCCTCTTGAAAAAGCACCTTTGGGACAACCATGATCTGGATGACTGAGAATTTCCATAGACATAGAACTTCTGAAACAAAGCAAGTTGTATGAAACCAGGTTTATAATTTTATGAGCCTTGAACATGCCAGAAGACTGTTGTCTTTGTTACAATCCACTCTAAAACAGTCATCCTTCTGGAAACTATTGAGAAATACTTTAATTGTATAAGTTACCCTATCAAGCTTCATTTTTGTAAGTTGCCTATAAGATTTCTAATGGGTGAATAAAACTAATAATTACTTGAAATATAATTAAACCTGCAATCTTGCCTTTAATTTTTTCTTTTTCATGCACTTCAAAAAACCTTTTAGCTATGCATGGCTCCAAATATTATGATCAGGTTTAATTATTATTACTATTGAATAAACCACAATATTATTCACAGGTTCTAAAGTCATAAAACACACTAAGATTTAAGGTATGATTTACAAACCATGGTTCAGTTTGCATAACACATTCAACTGCAGTTGATATCACTAGGGTCAACTGCATGAGCCCAACTTTATTTGCATGTTTTTAGATAATCAAAATAGGTAGATAACTTCTGCCTTTTAGGATCTATCATCAACAATAAGGAAGCAAGCAGTCAAGCAATATGCCACAGGTCATGGCTACTGCTTGGTTGGGCAGTCATGAAGTCTTTGGAAAATATATTCAGATGCCTGGCTGTTATACTGAGAAAGGAGGAAAGAAGGAGAAGCAGCTGATCAGTACAAATTGGTTGGCCCCAGTTACAGTATTGATTAGTGTACTGTTGGGAAGATCTAAAAGACATGTTAGGGATAGGCTGTCTTAGAGACAAACATAATCAATCAATGTATACATCATTTTCGACTGTAATATGGAGCCTTGTTTGTGAGGAAGGGATTTGTGAAGACTTGGCAATTCTCAGATACTTTATTTTCATCTTAAAAGTAATAAACAAACAAACGCACCCCACAGCTATGTTAACAAAAGCATGAGAGAGTCACAGAATTGTTTATCACTTTGTTCACTAAGATAAAGCATCCTTCAAACATTTTATAGTATGCATATGGCGCTAAAACTTCGTAGAATGAGAAGCAAAGGCAGGGAAAGGCACCCACTCAGTCTGAGTCTTCTAAGAAAGCTGGTGCTAGGCAAGAATTGTTGTATCCCTGCTCTTATACCACTGAAGACAGAGCCATGGTGGCTCAGTGGTTAGAATGCAGGCTACCGTAATTCACTGCTCACTCCAGGAGTTCAATTCTGAGCAGCTCAAGGTAGACTCAGCCTTCTATCCTTCTGAAGTTGGTAAAATGGGGACCCAGATTGTTGGGGGCAATATGCTGACTCTGTAAACCACTTAGAGAGTGCTGTAAAGCACTATGAAGTGTTATATAAGTCTAAGTGCTATTGCTATTCAGAAACTTGACAAGGTACAATGTCCTTACAATCCATAAACTTATGAGGCAGGTGAGTCTTACACATCACTATCACCTTTTTTTTAATAGTTTTGTACCACCATTCCTCCCAAAAGCTAATTGAATAGGAAAGTTTTCTTAACTAATAAGTAAATACAAATTATAACCTGAGTATAACAAATGTGCTATTTTCTTTTCTGCCTTAGCAATAATCCTTCATGTTCTTTTCTGGTGTTGGGGAAATAAAACAATATTTGAAAATGTCACAGCTAGCATTTTATTTCCAAGGTTCTAATTTAATACAGTGTTGCAGCTTGATTTTTAGGTAAATATGCTATTATTAAGTAGATTTTGAATTAAAAGTTTTTTACACGTGGCTTTATCCACACTATTGTCATGTTACATGGATATTTTCATGTTCTGTTGTAGGTTAACGAAATCTATCATGATGAGTCTTTAGGTGCACATATTAACGTTGTCCTGGTAAGAATCATCCTGCTGAGCTACGGAAAAGTAAGTATAATTTTAATACCAATTTTAAACAGTAATTGATATATATTTTTTCACCAGTTGCATTGTTTTTTCTTTATAAAACTACGTCTGATAGTGTGATGAAACAATCTGCAAGTATACAGTAGTTTGGAAAATTTCATGGGCTTCCCAATCCAGGATGCCAGAGAAGACCTCACCAAAAACCTCTGGTGTGTCTTCCAGGTTTCCAAAAAACCTCTGGCCACAGTTCATTTTTTACTTTTCTTCAGCCTCAGGTGACCAAAAGCACCTTTTCCAATTGTATAACTTTTCAGGATGATGATGTCAGTGATGCTCATTATTACTTTAAGTAGAATATATCACATATATTGTTCAACATAACCGGGACATTCCATAGTTGCATAGCAACTAGTTTCTCTATGTTTAAGGAATTTGTTAATGCAGTAAATCAGCTTTCAACACAGTAATAATTGTCATTTAATTCAAGCTAGGAATTTTAACAGATGTCATTCCTTGAAATTTTTATGACAAAGAAAATGGACAAAGTGCATGTTAATTAAGCCTGACTTCCAGCATTATTAATGGTAGCTTTTTGAAAATATTCAGTGAGTTGAAAATAAACCAAATGTGCTTGCTACTTGTCCTAAGCTTCTAAAAATCAGTTGCATACATCCACTGTATACTTAATAATGGTACGAGGTGATGCTGACAAGGTGGAACTTGTGTTATATAGACCAGAAATTCATTATGTAAATATTAAGCAGGTGTATTCTATTCTCAAGGCTTTATGGTTAATTGCACTATTGCTGCAAGATGATACAAAAGTTGTTTAAGTTTTACTTGGCTAAGAAGCACTTTGAATTATGCAGCAAATTAAAATTTAAGACCCTGAAAAATCAAAATAATTTCTAGGTTTGAAATGGTTCACCAACTTTCCTTCTTCATTAATCTCTGGAATAGTCTGATCAGATTTAGTCTTAAATGGTAGCTTCAGTTCACAAAGGACATGGAAAGAGATTGGTTTCAATTTCCGAAATCCCTGACAAAATTTTATACATAGTCTCAGTGAAACTTGTTTCATAATTCACACTGTATATTTTGGGATATTTGCCAAAACAGACAAACCAAATTTTGAGATTTCTACAGAGTTCCAAATAAGGCAGGTGCACATTTTCTAAAGCTATTTTTAGTGTAATTTTGAATAGTTTCCAAAACTTAATCCCTTAACCACGAACATATATAATATATCATGCTGTTTTCTTTTGGATTAAATGTTTACAGAGCACAGAAACCAATTAAGACAACGAAAAGGATGACATTAGAAAAAGAAAAGGAAACAGCTAAAACTATATTGTACACACTCCATTTGCTGTAACTCCCAAAATTTACTTACACCATCACACCGATATGTAAATTCATACCATAGGGTTTGGGTTGGTTTTTTTTTTTAAAACTTCTTGCCCCTCTCTTTCTCCCTCTGATGATCTCATCAATTCCAGAATAATAGAGTAATAGAGTTGGAAGAACCTTGGAGTGTCAGGAAATTTCTTATTTCTAGGTTGATTCTTTCTTTGAATAGTTTCCATCATTGTCTCTTGTCCTGCCTTCAGGTGCTTTGCAGAACAGGTTTGACTTCCTCTTCTTTGTAGCAGCCCCTCAAATATCAGAAGACTGCTATCATGTCACTTCTAGTCCTTCTTTTAATAGATGAGATGTTCCTTCATTCTCCTTCATTCCAGACATTCTCTCCAGTCTCTCACATCTTTAAAATCACCATAATCATCTCTGATCCATTAAACACAAAGAGAGACAACACACTTCCTTCCTTTATTCCACAATGTTGAAATATTCGCTATGCATTCCATTTATGCGTGTACTTCTTTTACTACCATCGCATCAGATAGAGCAACCAGCTTTCAATTACATATTTATGTGAAACAATCTAAATTTCTAATCTACTTCGGTTATCATATACTTTATTTGAATCAACAAATGTGCACTAAACTTTCTTTCTCACATTTGCAGTTTTCTCAATGATTTTTTGAAGGCTAAAAATCTGCACTCTTTAGCGTAAAACTATACCGTGTTTCCTAAATGTGCTGGTTGTCACCTCTTTCACCCTTTCAATCAGACTTTTCCCCAAACCTTCCCAATCTAGAAGCCCTTCTCTCAGTCACTTACACTTTAGTAAGCTTGTTGCAACTTGCTTCTACAACTGGTCGGGAAAGGGACAACTTGAATAGCAGCTTCTGTCACTGCTGCTTCAAGAGCTGCACTGGAGATCAGTTGAGGTCAGGATGCAGTTCACTGTCCTGGCTACCACCTTGGAAGTCCTTCATAGATTAGGACCTGGATTTCTTTGGGATTATCTTTCCCCCAATGAATCTTTTCTTCCAGTAATATGTTGTAGAAATGATTCTCCTCATTTATTTCTCTATTAGTATGGCTTTATATTGAATCTACAGTAATATTCTTATCTTGTAAATTTTTCTCAACAGATATATATAAAATCAGTTCAGTTCACATTACTGGAAATATGAAAGAAGAGTAGCTAAAATTTGGTCTTTCAGCCAGAGACTCTTTGAGATGTGTTCTGTACCCTTTGAGATGTCCTATAAACATCCTCAGGATTGGAGGCATTTTATTTTTCATTTCTCCCCTTTTCTTTGGAATAGTATTCCCCAGGAGATTGGGATGACCCCTACTCTGGGTTTTAAAACTGGCTTTTTCAGAGGTCTTAAGAGATGGGAATGTTGTGAGTGGCTGTGAACTCTTAGATCAATCCTGCTTTTATGTTTATTACTTTGTATGTAGACATTTGAGTGGACATCTGTTTAAGCCATGTATTTAAGGTAGGCAAAGACTCATAGAACAGTTATTCCCATGGATTCTTGGGTATCCCTGTAGTCCGATCACATTTTCGTTACTATCCCATCCATCGAGTTTTTTTCATAACACTTTTTAATAAGATAGAGAAGGTATTAACTAGGTGACCAGCGTTAGCTATATCCATGTCATAATAATAGCATTCCTTACTGAAAATAAGAATAGAATTAGTAAATCTGGACAATTTTTATTTGGATACTCCAAGTGCAATCAAACCCCACTTTTATGTAAAGTGTGTTCATGCTATTTTATGCAGGCCATGACATCTAATTATAAAGGATTCTGGGCATAAAGGAATAAATGACTGCATTTAATAATTGCATTTAAAATCACAAAAGTTCAGTGAATATTACTGAGGCGAAGTAAAATATTATTCTTACAGTTTCTCTCTATCACTTTTTTACACCTCCATTCTATATAATTACCTTCAGTTTTTATAAAATAGGGAACAAGCCATTTAAAAAAAAACACTAAATTACACATTTCTTTTCAGATGTTCCTTTGCCTTATATTTACTCTGGATGTACTATTTCTCCTACGCATATATAATAGAGTATTATTAGAGAGAAAAATCTAATAAAACATTGCCATGAGATATTGCTCACAGTGCTTTGAAAGCAAAATGCCAATTTGCTTGTTGAGTTTATTGATGTTGGTATTGTTGATTCTGTTACCATGGTACCAATAATTGTTTTTCTTTTCTTGTTTTTCTTCCCCTCCCCTCCCCCCTCCACACAATAACTTGCCTAGCTCATATGACAGCTGGAAATAATCTAATCTAAGTAAATGGTTTGAAGGAAAATATTTTGAAATGCGTTTTTGGTTGCAGTCACTTTTGACAGCAAATGAACATACAGTATTTCAGATTGCCTCATACATGCATGCTGTGTTACTTTTAAATTTGTTAACTTAACAATGTCCATTTATAAATCTAACAAGATAACCATTTCATCCCCAGTAAGTATAGATGTGTAGAATTGTCAGAAGTTACAGCTGGAGCACCATCTAATGGATGTCTCTTGAAAGTTTCCTTTTTCAAGCTTATATAAAAACGTTGCTTCTCCTTTTGGTTAAGAGCAAGTGTAGCATTAATCAGATTAAAATATTTATTTAATTTATTTTCTGACATTAACCAATACTGAATAATCTGTTAGTACTGTTCTCCATCAGTAAATCCAATATGTGGTTGTGAATCTTTATTTAGCCTCCAAGCAGTGTCATCAATGGCCCTTCACTCTGACATTCTTTCATAAGACCCTGAAGACCTGGTTTTGCCAACAGACCTGGGGAAGCCAGAGTGGGATGGAACCCATCAAGTGGTTTGTCTGATTGCTTGTTGTCACCGGGGGTGGGGTGGGGTTATTGATTTTATTGTTTTTATATCGGAGTTTTATTGCGTGTACTGTTGGCATGTAGAAAATGCAGTTGGTCAAATTCATATTAAACAAGACAGTAGTTATTGGAAGGCAGCTGCTTTTAAAGATGAAAGGAGAGGGACATTTTTACAGGCATTGTCTTCTGAATAAACTGATTGGTTCATCAAAATTTTGCTAGCCATAGAATTGGCATATAAATCTTATAACAAGCTAACCAGCAAACAAGTAAATAAATAAATCCAGAAACAGCACCAGTAAACTTAAACTCAAAAGCATTTCTGCAAATATAGTTAGGATTAAACATACTTTGAACATGAAACATTGACTATAAAGGAGGTAAGGGAGAAAAGGTAGAGGACAGAAATGGAGCCTCCTACAAAAGGGACATGATTGCCTGGAATTATAAAAAGAAACACTAGAGTCATATTTTTTTTTGATATCCTCATCAAAGTATAAATTCCTACTTGACCGGCTTTTTAGCAATACTCCCTTAAATGGTTCATGAACAAAGTCTATAAAATCTATAAAATGATACAATCCAACCACATTACAAGAACAACATTAAAAGTAACATTAAACATAATAAATAGAAGAGACACATGAAAGAAGTTTTTTTTCCACCAGTGCAGTGCAAAGATAACTCGACTCAGGAAGGAAGGAGAGCAGAAAAGACAAATTTTTCTAAACAAATTTTTTTCCCAAAATGATAGCGGTGCATTTAACTGAAAGGGATTTCAAAAGCTCTTTTCTTGTTAACTT